CATTTCTTATTTAATCATGATCACTACTCTCATGAGTGGTGCAACAATTCACATATGTGCTTTACCATGAATTTTTCTAATTAGAAGACAGCAGAACCTGTTTTGGCTTGTTTGCTCCAGAGTGGTATTTTAGACAAAGCTGCTACATTCTGGTTTGGGGTAGTTCCTCCTTTGGTCTACGTGGATCAAAGCAAAGATTAGCAGGTCTTTGATCCCAGGAAGGCCTGAGCATGAAACCACCCAGAAGACTGTGGCTGAGTTCTCAGTCTGTGGTGTTTCTGGTGACAGAGTTGTCCTGCCTGTTGCCGAGAAAGAAGGATGGGAGATCTGGAGAGTGGCATTGTCGCCTTGCTTTTGACCATAGTCACAGGTATCCTTTTTTTCTTACTCCTTCATTTACTGATGGAAGAAATGTTTTAGTCTGTTATTTTTTATTGAATCAAGACCACCTCATGGAGGTTTAGGAGATGAATTTCTCAAAAGGCATAAAACGAAAATCAAGAAAAGATCACCCAGAAAATTCATTTGTTTAAATAAGGATTGGAATAGCTTACCTTTTAAAAGTAGTTTGGAGGATAAAGACGAGATTTGGGATCCTACTGTGATTTAGGACCACCAAGCCAGTATATGTTGCAAGCAGTTTCTCAGTGATTAACAAGTCTGAATCTTAAATTTGCTTTACCGAAAAATCTGTCAGCTGCACATGATCCATCTTTACTTAGATATAAGTCTCCCTAAATTCATCCGGAGATGCTTAAGAATGTAAGTGTGGGATTGCAAACACTGAATGATAATTGTTCCTTTGGAAATTCAAAATTCTAAAGGTACAGCAAAGTAAACTTGTTGGTTCAGTCTCCCTCCCTCCCTCCCTCTGTCTCTCTCTCTTGTCTTCTTTTTAAATATTCCCATTCCTTTCCAGCTGTATCAGGTCAGGCCACTGTCATCCAGAAGGACCAATTTCTTTCCATCAAGGAAGGAGAATCCATCCGGATGAACTGCTCCTATACGGAAACAGGATACAGTCTTCAGTGGTACAGGCAATATCCAGGGGGCCAGCCAGAGTTCATGATCTTACTGACAAGCTCAATGACTCAAGAAAAGGATGATTTTAAAATGAGTCTGGACACAGACCAGAAGACTTTGTATCTGAAGAACACCCGGCTGAACGATTCAGCTGTCTATTTCTGTGCATGGAGCACAGTGGTACAAAGGTACATCCTGGCTGTCA